CCAAACCCGCAACCCTGAACCCTGAACCCTAAACCCTCTCACCACTCAACCCTAAACCCTAAACCCTAAACCCTGAACCTTGAACCCAAAACCCTAAACCCAAAATCCTAAACCCTGAACCCTAAACCCAGAGCCCAAAACCCTAAACCCTAAACCCTTAAACCCTAAACCCCAAATCCCAAAGCCTTGAACCCTAAACCCCTAAACCCTGAACCCTAAACCCTGAACCCTAAACCCTAACCCCAAAACTCTAAACCCCTAAACCCTAGCAGCCCTAGCAAAGCCCTAAACCCAAAACCCCTAAACCCTAGGCCCTAAACTCTGGACCCGAAACCCTAAAACCTACCAAACCCGCAACCCTGAACCCTGAACCCTAAACCCTCTCACCACTCAACCCTAAACCCTAAACCCTAAACCCTGAACCTTGAACCCAAAACCCTAAACCCAAAATCCTAAACCCTGAACCTAAAACCCTAAACCCTTAAAACCCTGAAGCCCTACACCCTGAAGCCCAAAGCCCTAAACCTAAACACCAAAACACTACACCTGAAACCTTGCCCGCGCCTCTACTGAAAGACAATTAATGCACACTGGGCGCTAGAATGAATGCGCACTGGACCCCCTACCCTCCATAGGATGAGACGATGGCCACCTACCAGATTAAGAGGCCCTTCTTCAGGTCGTGTCCGTGACCCACTGGCAAACCAGGACTGCGAAGCGTCCAAGCCGAAAACATCGGTCTTCCGTTCCTTGTTCGTTCCTTTTGCGTGTGACTGCTCTGAAAACTCTGAGATGCAACCACGGTTTTCGTAGGACTCAGCAAGCCTCAAAGCTGACAGCAAAGCCTGGATCAGGCATGATTGTTGTCCGCCACATTTCCCGGGTGAAGTTCTGATCGTACGAGGTGGCACAATGCATGGTAGACCGAGTGTCGCAAATTGCAAAGTCTCCAGGCAGCCAGTTCCACACGATAGTAAATTGAGGTGCAGTGGCATGCACCAAAAGATCCCGAAGTATGGCAACCTCGGTTTTCCCTCACACCGTGGGACTGCCGGCTGTTGCTACAAGACCATAGATCGGCTTCATCTTTTGCGTCACCCTTTCCCTTCTGTCGCTTCGGCAGCTATTTGCAGTTTGCGGCAACAGTATGCAGCAATATGCAGCATGTCTCATGTCGCAGAGGCAGTCTGTAGCCGCTGACTGTGCAAGCCCACTGAAGGATGTTTGACACGCGCATGCCACCCCGACAGCGACGACTTGTGAACATGCTCTTAAATGCAGGCACCGCACTGAAGCATCCTCTTCGCCAGTTTCTTCGTAGTGGCGCAGCTTTGAAGGGCACATCTCCTCAATTTCCAGCTCAGGAAAAACCTTGTTGCCCCATCTTGACATGCTGACTGCTGTCAGGCATCTTGCCCCTTGTCGACGAGCGAGCACGTGCTGGAATTGATACCATAAATGGAGTACCGGCCCGTTTCTGGATGCTGGAGGCAAAGGGGCACACGGCGCGCGGGATTCCGGCATCGCTCCTCCACAAGACACTGACAGAGAGGGGGCAAGAGTGGAAGCATGCACTGATGATGCAAAATAATAGGGTAACAACTGGTACAGCAAAAGTGCGGAGTGCACCATACACTAGCTGCTAGAAGCAACCATCAAGATAGGGGATGTACACTGCTTTGTGCAGTACAAGATTTGGTGCGATACGGCATGCAGCCTCATGCGGCATCGTTGGATAAGCCGGATTGCGACGTCTGATCTTCGCGTCGTGGTGCGCCAAGCTGCAGATGCAGATCAGCTTCCTCAAGTACATTAAAACATCAGCGAGCTGTCTCCACTATTCTCCATTCCACCACGAAAGAAGAGAGTACTTGAAAGACCCTTCCTAGACGAGTGTAGCTTGATTTTGCGTTTGCCGTGTCCGCAGGTCGTGGCCGCAGGCAGCGGGCCACTTGCCACGGACAGGGCGGCGGTTGGTTGGCCAACCCCAAACCCCACAAGAAAAATCCCCCGTACACGTGCCAAAACACGTGT